ACTTGAGTCCAATTAACATGAACTTTGAGCTTCCTTAGGCATACAATGCATAGTGCTAAAGAAAACCAAGAACTACGAACCACATATGCGATGCATTTGCTATTGCATAAGCACTATATATGCAAAGATTTAAAGCTAACACAATCAAAGAGTTGGTCTTATAGTTTAAAGTTTTAGTTAAATTTTTACATAATTATAATTTATTATATAATTAGAACTAAAACTAACACTAACATAGAGTTGGGTTCATATTACTTTTCAAGTGTTGGCAATACAGGAAATGCTCTTTCTTGTGATTTCTTAGTCTTTCGAAGTTGATATGTTGTTGAAATGTGCCATATAGGAGTTTTAAACAATATATGGTAGTTTAGTTTCTACCTTAATATCCCTTCCTTTCATTTTCGTGGCATTGCCTTACAATCAATAATGAAAACACCTTTCCATCCTCCCTTTTCTTTTCATTCTCCTTTTCTCTTGATACATCATTTGATGTAGTTGATTATCGTTTTTCACATTTACCCCCTATTTGAGCTCCATTTTTGGGGGGATAATGTATTTTGGAATAATGATTTTTTGGAGAATGTGTGGTTAAAAAATAAAGATTTTTTTGGGTTTACGTGTAAAATTAATTTATCGGAGAATGTGTGGTTGAAATAGAATTTTGGAGAAAATGAGTTTTTGAAAAAAATAGAGGCCAAACATAGGCTATATAAGAGATTCACATGCTTTTGGTAGCGCAACCCTTCTGTATGATCAGCCTTAATTTTTCTTCTGTGTAAGCCTCTACGAGTGGCTTTAGCTATCATTAAGAAAATGATGAGAACCCCGCTTATGGAAAATTCTGATTGACATGATCTCGACCATGTGTCCTTTGTTTTGATTGATACATGTTCGATGCAGGCGGTTTGGGACATGGACAGTGGCAAAGTTAATGGAAAGCAGAAACGATATTATCTTGGAAGGTCCAATCTGTAGTGGCTCTCAAGTGATAGGATGACACATAGATGACATGTTGAAAAGATTTCGAAGATTCCATGCCGATATGTCAGGTTTTGCCTTTAATAGTACTATTATTTGGGATCCAAAGAGATGGCATCGACCTACCCTTGAACCAATCAGGCAGCTTGATATAGTCAGAGAAAGTTTCCAAGTAAGTGTCTCTATAACAAAAATGAATTCAATGGCAATATAGTAGATCTCTCTGTAAGTCTTTGATCTGCAATAATTTGAATTCCTACTTGATTTTTGAGATTTTAACCTAATTCTGTCCTACATGCCATATAATACGAGTCACATGACCGGTGAGCTTAAAATTGTTGGACCTAGTGCATGTTTGACTTATCTTAAAAAGTTCACTTATAAGTAAATAGTTTTAAAATAAATTTAAGTAAATAAGTTTTAAAATAATTTTTTTTTCATTGGTCAAAGTTTGAATAAGGAAGTTACTCATTTTGAGGGTAAGGTAAGAATCCGAATAAGTTTTTATTTTTTTACCTAAAAGTTTTAAAAGCAAGTTATCAAACATGTTTGTAAGCAAAAAATTGCTACTTTTACATGGCGAAACATGCTCCAGGTGTCGTATCTTACTCAAGGTGGATGAATGATTAAAAAAGGAGAATAACTGTGAAAAGGGAAGAACGAAGAGTACAAGAGAGAATGAACGATGATGTTTTATTTATATTCGTACTGACATAATATACTTGTGTTAAAATCAACTGATTATTCAGCTGTAGCAGCCCTGCAATGTGGTCCATTGAATGAACCGGTTAATAAGAATCTTTTAGTGCTAGCACCTCCTAAATTGTAGGAGTGGAAGAATAATTCTATTGTACACTTGACATTCTTTTATAGGTGATAGGAGCATATTTCAGTTATATGTTTGTATCCTTGTATGCTCTATATAATGTATCAATTGGGAATAAGAAATATCAACCCGAAAAATTCTTTCAGCTTGCTCAGATTTTTTCTTGGTATCAGAGCATAGAATGGCTAACATCGAGTCCAAAATTCAAACTTCTTCAACCGAGTTCATCCCCTCCTCTCACTCAGAAGCTGTTGTGTTTCAGGCATCGCCATTTGGGATGAACCTCACCCAAACCCCATCTGTAAAACTGGACAAAAAAAACTTTCTCTTGTGGCAAAACATGGTTATGCCTATAATCAGGGGTCACAACCTAGAAGGCTATCTACTGGGAACAAAAGAGTTCCCGCCGAAGTTCCATAGTACTCAAACTGCCACTGAAGAGGGAGTAGCTATGAAAGTTAGCCAGAATCCAGAATATGGCAGATGGATTTCGACTGACCAACTGTTAATGGGGATGGTTGTATTCATCCATGACCCCTGAAATTGCAATGAGGGTAATAGGGTGTACTAGCTCAAGCAAACTAGGGAATGCTGTTAAGGAAAGCTATGGAATAATGAATAGGTCAAGGGTTGCCTTTCTTACTGGGGAGTTGCAGAGAACCAGGAAAGGTTCAATGACTATGGATCAATATCTTGCTGTTGTAAAACAACTGGCTGACAATCTACAAGTTGCTGGAAAATCAGTGGATCCTAGTGACCTTGTAACCCAAGTTCTTGCGGGACTGGATGAAGAGTATACGCCTATTGTAGTACAGATTAACAGCAAGGAAGATATCTCTTGCCATGAACTAACATCAGTTCCTATGACTTTTGAGAGTAAACTTGAACATCTAAATCAAGTCAAGAATGGCTTAGCTTCCTTTAATATCACCCAGTCAAGTGTGCAGGTGGCACAAAGGTCTGGATCAGGTGCTGGCAAATCCTTTAGAGGTGGAAGATTTACAAACTTTAGAGGAAGAACAAGAGGCAGATGAAGATCAGGCAGGTCAAATGAGAGTCGAGGACCTTGTCAAATCTGTGGATTAAGTAATCATTCAGCTAGCTGGTGCTTCAACAGGTTCGATGACAGGTATATGGGAAGCAAACCTAGCAATCACACTCATCAGAACAACAATCAAACTGCTGCAGCCTATATAGCTTCACCTACCATAGTTGAGGATCCAACTTGGTTTGCAGATTCTGGAGCCAGCACTCATGTAACTACTGATAAAGTTAATCTGATCACTGCAAAAAAGTATGGAGGTAAGGAGAAACTACTAGTTGTTAATGGAAACTCATTGCACATTGCACACATTGGAAAAAGAAATGTCACCACACTGAGTGATAAGCCTCTTGTTTTGGATAAAGTTTTACATGTATCTGCTATTAAGAAAAATCTGATTAATTTCTCTCAACTAACAAATGATAATAGTGTATTCATGGAATTTTATCCTGATTATTGTGTTGTCATATAAAAATGAAGAGGACATTGCTACAGGGGACACTTAGGGATGGATTGTATCAAATGAAGTTGTCAAGCTCCAAGTCTGAACCCACTATCTAAGAGTCAACCAACTAGAATAACATCAGTTTCACAAACTTATCAGTCAGTTCAAGTGGTCATACTTCAAGCAAAAGTGTCAAGTTGTCAAGGTCATAAATAGATGTCTGGAATAGGAGATTAAGACATCCTTCAAACCTTGTATTGAGTCAAGTACTGAAGTCATGTAATAAGTTCGCTAAAGTCAATGAAAATCCTACCTTCTGTGAAGCGTGTCAGTTTGGAAAATCTCATAAACTACCATTTAACCTATACTCTTCAAATGCATCAGGTGTTCTAGACCTCATACACATAGATGTTTGGGGACCAATGCCAAGGAATTCTACCTCAGGATTTAGGTTTTATATCATCTTCATTGATGACTACAGCAGGTTCACCTAGATTTATCCCATGAAACACAAGTCTGAGGCTTTAAATATCTTTATCCAATTCAAAAAATTAGTAGAAACTAGGTTTGACAGGAAGATCAAAACCCTCCAATCAGACTGGGGAGGTGAATATAGGAAGTTAGAACCATTTGCCTCACAATCAGGAATAGAACTTAGAAGATCATGCCCTTATACTTCAGCACAAAATGGCAGGGCTGAAAGAAAACATAGACACATCACCGAGACAGGTTTAACTCTCCTAGCCCAAGCACAAATGCCATTGCACTATTGGTGGGAGTCTTTTAAAGCAGCCACTTTCCTGATAAACCGGTTACCAACTCCCATACTGCAGCATAAATCCCCTTTCCAGGTTCTATATAAAAAGAATTTTGACTATACCACATTAAAAACCTTTGGTTGCACTTGCTATCCATGCCTAAGGCCTTACCAAAAACATAAATTTGACTTTCATTCTCAAAGGTGTACCTTCCTTGGCTATAGTGATTCACATAAGGGATATAAATGCTTAAATTCAACAGGTAGAATCTACATTTCACGTCATGTGGTGTTCAATGAGTCAGAGTTCCCCTTTAAAAATGGTTTCCTAAATAGACATGCTCAGCCACAAACTTCAGATAGTGTCACAACCTATCTGCCATTTGAAATTGAGTCAAGTTACGTTATACTACCCCACAATGAAAATGATATAATTCATCCTGGTGATTCACCTACTGCAGAGTCCTCAAACAGAGAGTTGGAACTTGTTTATGAAGTGGAGGTAAATACAGATGAAAGAATTCAAGGTACTGAAATTGATCAGACAACTTCAGTTTACAATGAAGCTATTGACACTCAGATAGATGGAGGTGCTAAGCTAGAAAGTGGTGTTGATATTGATGCTCAAGATGTCATACTTAGAAGAGGACATCATATGGTAACCAAAAGCAAAGTAGGAACTTTCGAACCTAAGGTTTATGCCTGTCAAGATCAGAATACTCTTGGTTTTCAAACTGAACCACAGAATATTGAAGAAGCCCTGATGAGTGGGAGTTGGAAAAAGGCTATGCAGGAAGAGTACAACGCACTAATGAAGAACAAGACATGGAAATTGGTATCTCCAGAACTAGGATGAAAGTAATTGGCAACAAGTGGGTGTAAAAACTGAAATATAACTCAGAAGGCAGGGTGCAAGATATAAGGCACGGCTTGTTAGCAAAGGTTTTTTGCAAACACCTAGAGTGGATTTTAGTGAGACCTTTAGCCCGGTAATAAATGCATCAACATTGAAGATCATACTCAACCTTGTAGTGAGCAAAGATTGGGAAATTAGGTAAATTGATATAAATAATGCATCTTGAATGGCAAACTGGAAGAAACGGTATTTATGGATCAGCCTCCAGGTTTTATAGATAAGGAAAATCCCAACTTTGTATGCAAATTGGAGAAGGCTCTACATGGACTTAGACAGGCTCCAAGAGCATGGCATGAGGAGCTAAGGAATACCCTACTAAAATGGAAATTTTGCCAATCAAGGGCAGATAACTCATTGTTCTTTATGATGGATGAAAGTAGTGTGTTGTTCGCATTAGTATATGTGGATGATATAGTTGTGACAGGGAACAATGGCAAACAAATGCAAGCATTCATAGACAAACTAAATGAGTGTTTTGCTCTAAAAGATATGGGAGCCCTTAGCCAATTCTTAGGTATTGAAGTAAGTAGAGGTGAAACAGGATTGTATCTAAATCAGACAAAATATGTAATTGGTCTACTTAAAAGGTTCAGCTATGAGAATCTGAAATCGAGCATGACACCTATGGCTGTTGGGAAACAAATTTCAAAGGATGAAGGAGAAGTGATGAAGGATCCAACTCTTTATAGAAGCACTGTTGGTGGACTTCGGTACCTAGCACACACAAGGTCTGATATCTCCTATGCTGTTAACAAAATGAGTCAGTTCCTCCAGACGCCTACTGATGTTCACTGGAAGACACTTAAGAGAATTTTTAGATACTTAAAGGGCACTCTGTATCATGGCCTAGCTGTTAGGAAAAGTGACAGTATGGAGATCGCAGCTTTTGTAGATTCAGACTGGGCTTCATGCCCTGATGATAGAAGGTCTACAGCTGGCTATTGTGTGTATCTTGGGGATAACTTAGTCTCTGGCATTCCAAAAAGTAGCAGGTAGTTGCCGATCAAGTACGGAGGCTGAATATAGAGCACTAGCTCGCAGTGCTGCAGAAGTTGCTAGGATACAATCATTGATGAAGGAACTAAGCATACCATAGAAGATAATTCCCAAAATATGGTGTGATAACCTAAGTGCAAGTGTACTAGCTTCAAACCCGGTATATCACGCTCGGACCAAGCACATAGAATTGGATGTTCACTTCATTAGAGATAAAGTTTTAAGGAAAGAGGTAGAGATTCACTATGTACCTTCCTCAGATCAAGTTGCTGATGTATTAACAAAACCTCTTGCTCATTCAAAGTTCATTGTCTTAAGAGACAAGCTTGGAGTGGTCCAGACACACTCCACCTTGAGAGGGGGTGTTAAAATCAACTGATTATTCAGCTGTAGCAGCCCTGCAATGTGGTCCATTAAATGAACCAGTTAATAAGAATATTTTAGTGCTAGCACCTCCTAAATTTAGGAGTGGAAGAATAATTCTGTTGTACACTTGGCATTCTTTTATAGGTGATAGGAGCATATTTCAGTTATATGTTTGTATCCTTATATGTTCTATATAATGTATCAACTGGGAATAAGAAATATCAATCTGAAAAATTCTTTCAGCTTGCTCAGATTTTTTCTACTTGCATTGTAGGCAAGTACATTTACAGATCAAATTGTGGAGGATGAAAGTCAAATGGAATGCTTACATCAGGAATCGTCAGAAATTATGGTTTGGCACCATAGCATGGACTCAGATTCCTATACTCAGGGCTGATATCTATTTACTAGTTTGCATAATCCCTTCTTTTTTTGGCATAAAATGTTTTAACGATAGCAGAACTTCTCTAATATGGTGTATTTCGCTAGTTGCATGTAACATCACATTTAACTCTCTTTCAAAATTCCATATATGCATGTAGTACACACGTATTGCATCATGCAAATGTTCTGAAGAATTAAAACGGATTTGTCCTTAAGTTTTGGTATGGATGTGTTGCATCTAAGAACGCGTCTTCTTGATTTTTGTGGTGATAAGAAGAGCCAATCTTTTTGAATTCATTGAATACGTGTATGTTTCTTCATTCCCTTGGGATTTATCTGTAACATTCCTTTATTAAACTGTAGAAAAGTTTGGTCAGATGGTAAAAAGCATACAATCTTTGCTATGAATGCTTGCCTGTGTTGGTGATAGCGATGCAGTCCAAACTAAAGAAGCAGAAGAATGGAGATGTCCAGGCAATACCTCTTTCCTTATATTTGACTGCTATATCTGTACAGTTACTGAGTTTAAATTTTTCCTGGATTGTCTGGTATTGATCGAAGAGCAATATTCTGGTCGTCTAATTAGGGGTGCGGGTGGGGGCAAAATACACCATTGGAGATGTGAATCTTTAGAATTCTGACTTCATTGTTTATTGGAATTTTCTGTTTTTCAACGAATTTGTGGCCTTGTGTATTATCTGATACCAATTTGTATCTCGTTGTTGATTTACCGAATTATCGTTATCCTGATTAATCCAAAATGCTTAGTTATTCGCACTTTTTTATTTTTTAAACTATAGCTATATGTCTCTATATCTCTTTTATCTCTGGACAAGGTGAACAAAATATTTTATACGTTAGATTGCATCACAAACTTTTGGTTTCGAGTGGACATAGACTAACTTGTGACCATTTAGCGTATGCATCTTTTAAAATCATAAAATATCTAAATAGTCCAAGTAAATGATAAATGGTGAGCGGGCCCACATCATCACCCTTAATAATTTTAAGAAATGAAAGAATCCATTCTCAACTTTAGCTAGTGAAGGTCTTCTAACCAATATACTCTTAGAACAAGCTATATGCGGAAATTCATTTTCTCAAAGAATCTTTTTATTTTTCAATATATTATTCCAAGTAGTTATTCACATCATTGTTGGTCCATGATGGCCTAATTAGACATGCTAAGTGTTGACATACAAAAAATGAAATGAAGCCCAATTATATTGTCCAAGAATTGGAGTCTAGTTAGGGAGTTCAAGATATAGGTCCAAATGAGACCATTGTAGAATATAGTGGAGGCCCATAAACAAGGTACTATCATCGACCAAGCCTGCAGGACGTCTAGGATCTGAACGAATGAAGCGCCTTACAGTCGCCCAGAGCGATGATCCCATTCTCGCCCAAGCCTTTGAGTCGCT